ATGTTGTTTTCATAACAATATTTAACACAATAAAAATGATCAATCCTTTCTCTAAATCTTTTTTCTTCAAACAAATATTTTTTTTTTCCAATCAAACTAATCGAATTGTACCTTCAGTATTTCTATTACCTGATGAAAACCTATATTAAGATTAATAATTTTTATTAAGAAAATATATGCACGACTATTTGGTGACATTTCAGTGACATAAAAGAAGACACTAAAAAGGCAACGATGCTCCAACATAAATGTTCTTCTTTACTGTCATCCAATCACATAAAAGTTGTAATCTTCAATCGTGGTACATGTTTTATGGATAAGGAGAGTACGATAGGGATTAGACCTCTCTTTAAGAGTAGCATTATAATACGCTCTATTTGACTAAACAAACACCTCAATTATTGAACAAACGCTCGGTTCAATTAAATAAATTTGAAACCGCTATTTCTCTCTCCCTCACACAGTCACACACACACATATAATTGTGGGCAAATAATTTATTGTAATAACATTTTATTTTCATCATTTTTTTCAACTAATTTTGGAATGAAAACCTTTACATTGTGCATTATATTTATTTTATTACATAGTAACAACTGTTGAAAAATCATAAAGAAATTATTTATTACCAATTAATTTTTTTCAAACCATTTATCTAATTCATTATTATTTTTTTAGATCATTAATGAAATTTTTATTAAAATTAGCTAATTATTAATTTATGGCATAACTAAATCCCATAATATTTCGCACACAATTGTTGTAATAATACTTTAAATATTTTTCATGTAATTATTAGTTATGATTGTTGGACATTGACCTTTGGCAGATAGCCATTAAAAAGCAAAAACGCAGACTGCATAGCTTTCAGTAAAAGGATTCAAAATATGCTTTTGATTAATTGATAGATAAAGATGAACCATATACAAGCTTTATATAGAAGGCTATAGCAGCCCTAGAATCAGTTAACCCTAACACTATGCAAATAGAAAGAGGACACGTGTTCATGCATGATGTCATGCATGAAGGGGCACGAGATATACAGTTGTGATGAGCCATACAAAAAAGGTGAAAAATAAAGCTATCCTTGTACTAGCAAATTAACCAAAGGGTAAAGAATAGATCTTATTTGGTTTGTATGATTTATCACTCCCCCTCAATTCTTGGGCAGGTGAAGGAAAAACTTGAAGTTGTTGCTGTAACCTAGTAAAGAATTGATGAGAAAGCGGTTTGGTTAGAACATCAGCCACCTGGTCAATAGATGGAACATGTTGGACTTTGAGAAGCCTGTTGGCTACCTGATCCCTCACAAAATGGAGATCAATTTCAATATGCTTAGTCCTTGCATGTAGGACAGGATTGTTGGCCAATGAAATGGTACTTAATTTATCTATCCACACTGTAGGAGTTAGAGGTAAAACAACATGTAATTCTTTCAGAAGAGACTAAATCCAAGTAATTTCAGCTGTGGCATGAGCAAGACTCCTGTATTCTGCTTCAGTGCTAGATCTAGAGATAGAAGCTTGCTTCTTTGAACACCAAGAGATGGGATTTCTTCCAAGATACACACAAACCCCTGTGATGGATTTTCTATCATCTAAATCTGCTCCCCAATCATAGTCAGAAAAGGCAGTGAGATGAGGAGAACACCTCTTGGTGAATTGAAGGCCATGAGATAGAGTGCCTGCCAGAAATCTAAGGATCCTCTTTGCAGCTTTAAGATGAGTGTCAAGAGGTTGCTGCATGAACTGACAAACCTTGTTGACACTAAAAACAATGTCAGGTCTGGTAATAGTGGCATATTGAAGTGAACCTACCAAACTCCTGTAAGATGAGACATCCTCAATGGGTGAACCAAGAGTTTTTTATAATGTAGGAGTAGTGAGCATAGGAGTAGGAACAGGCTTAGCCTCAAGCTTATTAAATCTGGTGAGAAGGTCCTTAATGTATTTGGTTTGAGTGAGATGAATCTCATCAGCTGTTCTAACCACTTCAATTCCCAGAAAGTGGTGGACAACACCTAAGTCCTTGAGAGAGAATGCTGAACTGAGTTGAGTGATAGTGTCTTGAACTGCATTAGTGCAATTTCCAGTGACCAAGATGTCATCAATATAGACCAGCAGCCAAACAAGAGTCTGATTTGTTTGCTTGACATAGAGAGAGTTATCTGACTTGGAATGAGTGAAGGATAACTGTTGCAGAAGCTCTTTCAGTTTAGTGAACCAAGCTCGAGGTGCCTGTTTCAATCCATAAATGGACTTGTGCAACTTACAAACATGAGTAGGATTGGTCTGAGAAATAAAACAGGAGGTTGAGCCATATAAAGATCTTCCTCTATATCACCATTCAAGAAGGCATTGTTGATGTCTAGTTGCCTAATAGGCCAGTTCTTCATCAAAGCAAGTGAAAGGACAATTCGAATGGTAGTAGGTTTCACAACTGGACTAAAGGTCTCTGAAAAATCAATACCTGCAGTTTGACTGTATCCCTTAGCCACTAGTCTGGCTTTATGCCTTGCAATAGAGCCATCAGCATGATGTTTGAGCTTGAAGATCCACCTGTAACCAATGATGAATTTGTGTGGTGGTGGTGGAACCAAAGACCAGGTTTTATTAATCATGAGGGAATTATATTCAGAATGCATTGCTTGTGTCCATTTGGGATGAGCAAGGGCTGCTTTGCGATCAAGAGGAGCTTGAGTGTCCAACTGTGCAATATAGAAAGCTCTTGGTTTAAGATTGCCTGTTATAGATCTTGTGACAATGTGGTGGTGGCCAGTACCTGTACCTGCAGGGTTAGATAGTGGAACAGGTGCATGTGCATTCTCAATGGGCAACTCTACTACAAGAGGAACAGTGGAATATGTAGGTGAGGTACTGTGAGAGTTAGGAGATGAATGAGTGGAGTTGGAGAGAGAAGAAGTGGAAGAAGGAGATGAAGGAACTATTGATGGTGGAGGAGATGGGACATTGGATTCATGTGAGGGAGAATTTTGTGATAAGGAAGGTAAAAGAATGGGAGGTGCATCCACATGAGAGAGAACTGAGTTATAAAATGGGTGTGGAGAGGAGGGCTGATGGAAAGGGAAGTGTGTCTCATCAAAGATAACATCTTTGGAGATAATGATCTTCCCTTTGGGTAGTAGAACTTTAAAACCCTTATGTTTAGAGCTGTAGCCAAGAAAAGTACCAGGTAATGATCTGGGTTTCAATTTATGTTTATTGTAGGGTCTCATGTTTGGGTAGCAAAGACAGCCAAAGACCTTGAGGACATTATAGTTGGGCCTGTGACCATGAAGTTTTTTTCCAAGGGTGAAATGTATTTAAGAGCTTTGATAGGCAGTCTATTTAGAATAAAAACTGTTGTATGAAATGCATCATCCCAATATTGGAGTGGAACTTTAGATTGAGATAAAAGAGCTAAGCCCATTTCCACTATAGTTTTGTGCCTTCTTTCAGCAAGGCCATTCTGAGAAGGAGTATAGGGACATGAAATTCTATGTTGAATGCCACTATCTGAGAATAGTTTGGTAAGAGCAGCGAACTCCCCACCTCCATCACTTTGCACTGCTTTAATTTTAGAATTAAACTGATTTTCAACTAAGTTTTTGAAATGCACAAAGTCTGTGAGGACCTTTGATTTTCTTTTGAGGAAATAAATCCAGGTGAATCTCGTGTATTGATCAACAAAACATAAATAAAAGTGTGATTTAGAGTGTGATGTAATGGGAGAAGGTCCCCACACATCTGTGTGAATAAGTTGAAGTGGCTGAGAAAAAAGAGTAGAGGAATCTGAAACAGGCAAAGAATGAGCTTTAGCTTGCAAGCATGAACCACAAAGAAATTTTTCATTGATAAGATAAGGGACATTACAGCTTCTCATGACTTTAATGACTACATCAATAGCTGCATGACCTAATCTAGAATGCCACAACTCAAGATTGGCTGTCTTATTACAGGAAGCAAGAAAAACTCTTGGTCTAGATGGAACTGAAACAGTAGAGGACTTGGACTTGATGGGATTGGATATTTCAGCATCAAACTTGTAGAGACCATCTTTAAGGGAACCTTGGAGAAGGACATTGTGAGTTGTCTGATCCTTGACAAGACAAAGAGATGGATGAAATTCAAAAAACACACAATTATCTTTGGCAAACTGTGAAACACTCACAAGATTCTTAGTAATAGTAGGCACATGAAGAAGGTTTTTCAAAACAAAGTTTTTGGGAGTTAAGTTGGATTTCAGAAAAGAGTTGCCAATATGAGAAATACATAAACCTGTACCATTACCTATTTGCAGCTTGTTGTTTCCTTGAAAATCAGAGGCAAGGTTGAGGTTTGATCGTTCATTGGTGACATGGTTTGTAGCACCAGAGTCAGTAAACCAACTTGATTCAGTCATGGTGTCACTTGCTTGGTTGAGGTAATGAGCAGCAGGTTGAGTGACATGATTTGGTGCGGTGGTTTGAGCCACTTGGACTTGCATATTGGTAGGTCCTGGATAGGTAGAGTCATACCTATGGAAGCATCTATCAACTGTGTGGTTGGAGAGGCCACACAGTTGGCAGGCAGGCCGGTTACCTCTGAAATTTCTGCCTCCTCTTCCTCTAGTATTTTTGCCTCTTTCTCTTCCGCTACCAAAGGAGTTCTGAGATTGATTGCTAGTTGTGTTAGCAGGACCTTTGTTTCCATTGTTGGAAGAGTTCTGAGCAACATAATTAGCTGAAGGACTAGATCCATCTAGGTTGACAGTAGGTTGAGTTTCAAGATCTATTCTTGATTCCAAACTGAGAAGCATAGAGTGCACTTCATTCAAAGAGTATAGTTCAACTCTGGTTGTTACAGCCACAACAACTGCATTGTACTCTGAGACAAGCCCTCCAAGGATGTGGAGTATGTGATTCTGCTCATTAACTGGTTCACCGGCAGTGCCAAGAGCATCACAACAAGCTTTGACTTGAGAAAGGAACTCTCTCATAGACATGTTGCCCTTTTTAAGAGTTTGCAGCTGCAGCTTGAACTGCATAAGTCTGGCTTTGGACTGTCCAGAGTAGTTTGATTCAATGGCTTGCCAGATCTCTCTTGAAGAGTTCTTCCCGACCATCATGATCAACAGATTCTCAGAGAGAGAAGAAAGAAACCAGCTTGCCAGGAGTTGATCTTGTCTGACCCAAGTCACATATTCTGGGTTGACTTGGATCTGGTTAGTGTCTGCTGCAACAATGGTTGGTGAAGGCGGCAGATCTGAACCAGAGATGATGGTGAGGGCTTGCTGCTTCCATAATAGAAAATTCAAATCTGTGAGTTTTAGAGAGACAAGTTGATGATGAGGTTGGATAAGATTGTTAGGTGAGCTCAGAACAGGTGGAAGAGTGGTGGTATGGCTTGAGAAAGAGTCAGCCATTATAGCTGATTTCGAGATAAACAAAAGAAAGTGACAGGAGAGGTAACCAGAGACAGGTCAAGAGCCTGCTCTGATACCATGTTGGACATTGAGCTTTGGCAGATAGCCATTAAAGAGCAAAAACGCAGACTGCATAGCTTTCAGTAAAAGGATTCAAAATATGCTTTCATAAATTGATAGATAAAGATGAACCATGTACAAGCTTTATATAGAAGGCTACAACAGCCCTAGAATCAGCTAACCCTAACACTATGCAAATAGAAAGAGGACACGTGCTCATGCATGATGTCATGCATGAAGGGGCACGAGATATACAGCTGTGATGAGCCAAACATAAAAGGTGAAAAATAAAGCTATCCTTGTACTAGCAAATTAACCAAAGGGTAAAGCATATGTCCTGTTTGGTTTGTATGGTTTATCAATGATCACTCAAAATTGTTAAAAAAAATATATTATTATAATCAAGATAGTTATTTATACGTAAGTTAAATAGTTTATATTTATATCGTTAATTTTTAAGAATAATAAAATTTATAAAATGTGATATGCTTATTATCTAACATATCATTATAAATGTTGTATATAGACATATAATTTATGGGACAATATTGCATCTGTACATGTGCACAAAATCGAGTACTAGTGATTGTCACAATTATGTTAGTATGAACAGAGAACATAGTAAATTTCCTGCAGAATTTTGTAAACATGAAACTGAATTTCATGATAATGCAGTCATTAGTTACTTTGGTAGCAATGATTTTAGCAATATGATAATATTATTAAAATACATCCACAATATATAGGGAGGGATGAAATCATATGAGAATGATAGATAGTGAAAGGAATAAGAATAAATCTGTGTCATTGAATCTATCAAAACAACGATCATGATCAAGTCAAAATTTATTAATGACAGCCAATTATGTGATGGCATTCTTGTAACTAAGTGTACAGAACATGGTCAAATATTTACATTGACCACTCAGTAATGGTAAAACAAACATTACACAAAATTACAACTCATCCACCCATACAGTGCACACCACCCAACGCCAACCAACTTGGGTTCTCTCTCACACACTAACTCTCACACACATACACACACACACACAACCATTTTACGCACACAGACTACACACCCACACGAACACCACCACCACATGCGGTTTTTGGATTCTACCTGCCGCCGCCTACATCCCCGTCGGTCTCGTTGCCACCGCCACCAGCCTCGCTCTGCCATAGCCTGCCACCGCCTCCAACCCCCACCAGCTCTGCCACCACTGCGAACGGTCCGCCAAAGCCACAGCCACATCATCATCCACAACCACCGTGTGCAATTCTCCATTGTCGGCTTTCGGCTACTCCAACAAATGGTTTGTGTGATGTCGCCACGTCTCTAGTAACCTACTGTGTGAAATTGAGTGGCTTGCGTGGACGAATCCGATGGCCCTGATCCGCCGTTCGACCATTCATGGACGAATTCGGTGGCCCCGATCTTCACTTCTACTTTGACATACACGGTGGTTGCGGAATTGAGCGCGGCAAGGGAAGGGCCGATTCGGTGCTGATGGAGGTGGCGTGGTATGTGAGGGTGCGGCGGGTGAATGAATTTAGGGCTATGGGTGCTTTAGTGAAAATTAGGTAAATTGTAAGGACAAATTTTTAATTTTCAAAACTTTATTTATGATGAAATTTAATTAATGGGTTAAATATATATTTTATTAAAAATATAATAAATGTAGATTATGGATAAATAAAAATTGTTCTATATGTGCATGGATATGCATATAACATTTCAAACCGAAGATTTTTGTTCGGTCAGTTCGGTCGTTATTCTGCAATCTGATAGTCATTAATGTGCATTTTTATTAACACTATTGTGTACGGTTTCGGTTGCTATTGTGCAGTTTGAGCAATCCGAACTTTTATTCCAAATCAAATTACTTGGTGTATTCGGTCTGTTAACCGAACCACCCTAAAGAATCGAAATATGTTATTATTTATATTAAATACATATTTAGTGTTTTAATAATTTTATTTAATATTTGTATAATATTTTTTAATTGAAACAACATAATATACGAAATACATAGATTCATAATGTGCATTCAGACAATCACTAATGCACATTTAGTCTATCATTATTGTGCAGTCTATTAAGCGGGTATTTATGCGCATTTCAATTGAAGAAAACTTTAATAATATGTATTTTAATTAAATTATTGTATATTTATTAAATTATATTGATAATAAAATCATATTCAGTATGTATAACATTTTATTTAATATTTATATCATTGTTTTATAGAAAATAAATAATATATATAGATAAAATATAAAATAATTATTTTATATAGTTCATTCGGCTATTTTTTATATATAAATAAAGACAAATCCAAATAGAAATAAATTAAATATTTATTATTTGTAAAACAATGCACACTATTATGCTAATATGCATTCTCAAACGCATTAACGTGCATTCTGCCGAACACTATTGTGCAATCTGATAAGAACTACCGTGCATCTTGTTTTATTCTATTCTGCATTATGTAGTGTTGGTTTTTTTGTGTGCAAATCTATGCTAAATTTGAACCGAAATAATTGGTTTATTCGGTATGTTAATCGAACTAACGCAAATAATCGCAATAATTATTGTTTATATTATAAAAATATATTTAAAATTTTACATTTTTATTTAATATTTTATAAAAACATTGAGTCAACCAAAAATAATACGCTTGCCAGTATATATTATGTCATGTTTTAAATTGCCTGTAGGTATTTGATTCAGTCAGTGCTAGGAGCCTTACCAGTATATATTATGTCATGTTTTAAATTGCCTGTAGGTATTTGTTCTAAAATTTGTAAAGACATTGCTGATTTTTGGTGGGGGTGTTCTGAAGAAAGGAAAAAAAGAATACATTGGGCAGGGTGGGACAAATTAGCCTTACTTAAGGAATTGGGGGGTTTGGGATTTAAAAACTTTCATCTCTTTAATGACACCTTGATAGCTAAACAACTTTGGAGAGTTATTTCTCAACCCAATCTTTTGATGAGTCAAGTGATCAAGGGTAAATACTTTCACAATCAGAATCTATATAATGTAGTGCCAAAAAATTCAGACTCTTGGCTTTGGAAAGCTTGGCTAAAAGCTAGGTACATTCTGAGGTTGGGGATGAGGCATAAAATTGGGGATGGTTGTGCTATTGATATATGGGAGTCCTCATGGATTCCCAATTCTCCTTTTCCTAAGCCGGTTTGCTGTTTTGAAAGTGATAGATACACTTTGAGGAGAGTTTCTGATCTATGCAAAGAAGAAAATGGAGGATGGGATGTAGACTTGATTCAGCAGACATTCCTTCCAATTGAAGCTGAAGAAATTCTTAAACTCAATCCCCCAGTAGCAGGAAAGAGGGATCAACTTTTCTGGATTCACTGTCCTAAAGGCATCTTCTCAGTCAAACATATGTATCAGTTTTTGGTCAACAGATGGACTATGAGCAAGAACAGTCAAGAATCCAGTGAAAATCAAATGATGCAACAGAAGATTTAGAGAAGAACATGGGCACTCCAGGTAAAAAGCAAAATCAAATTGTTTGTTTGGAAATGTTGGCATAAGTTCTTAGGAGTTAAAGATCAAGTGAAGAAGAGAGGGATGAAGGTGGACCTGATATGTGACCAATGTGGAGATTCAGAGGAAACTCTAGAACACATCATGTTTACCTGTAGAAGAGCCAAGATAGTCTGGAAATTGTCCGGGCTTAACTGGGATGGGCTTAAATAGAAGGAGGAGGATTTTAGAAAATGGTGGGGAACAGTAATCACCATGGACAAAGGAAAATGCAGGAAAGATAGAATAGAGCTAACAACTTATTTGCTATGGTGGTTATGGCGCACAAGGAATAATTGGATTTTTAAACAAGAGTGGAAATCCGAAAAGGAGGTAGCAGATGGTGCATTAAGGGAATGGATAGAATTTGCATCTTGTAATAAGAAAGGAGGTGCAGAGGAGGAGTAAGATGGGGGAAATGGGGAGGATGTTTGCAGAAGTAGGGCAAAGTCTATTGTCAATGCTGAGGCAACCATCTATCCTGCTGCAACCGGCTGAGATTATGTGTTATGGACATGGTCCTAATGGGTACTGCTCAAGCTGGTTTGTAATTACTTTTGTGGGTTTTTTGATTTTATATTGGTTTGGGTTCAGTAAAATGTTATAGTTTGAGGGAATGTATTATTTTTGTTTCCCGTTTTTAGTGGTTGTTTTGTTCAGGTTTTGCTATAG